ACTGGCGCAGACCTTGCAGCAGCCGCACATGTCGCTCGTGACTCCGTAGTCGCAGTCTTCTTCGTCGGGGCAGTCGACCTCGACGCAGTCTGGACAAGAGGGCATCGACTCGGCCCTGGGGATTGTGGAGCGAAAGCGAAAAGAGAACTACGGTCAGCCATGCGGACCGCGGCTTGTCTTTCGCAAAGCCAAGCGATGCACGGGCGCCCTTTACGAGCATCCGCTTGTGCTTCACTCGGCATAAAGCGAGCAGACATATGAATAGGATAAGGTGCACGCTTGGTTCTGCGCTTTGGAAACCGGCGCAGCGGCCAAGACACGCGTTGTTTGCCAGGAGAGCGAGCACGTGCTGGCAAATTTCAGGAGATTCCGGGATGAAGCTTGCTCACGGGGTTCAACAGTCAACGCGGCTCATTGATTCTACCAAGTCTTTTTCATTCTATGAAATCTACAGATATTATGGCTCACTGATATATGGATATGGTACCTGCCTCCTTCTCGTACAGCATCATCAATGCATATCAGTTCACACATATAAGGCAGGATTTGTAGCGTTGAAGGAGACAGTTCCACTTGTCGAAACTTTGGCTTCGGCGATGCCCCGGATTCGGGAATTAATGTGTTGGACGAAGAGCAGTTTCGAGGAATCGTAGGAAAACACAGTGTCTGCTTCAAGCTGTTGGTGCATTGCTACCGAGGAATTTCGTTAGCGTGCGCCGCTTCATGTTGATTTTTTTCCGCGCCGTTTCCCACTTACCAAAAACTACTGCCGTAACCGCTTAGCTTATTATAGCAACCATACTGTATGCATGTTCAAGCGCGCGTTTGTACGTGTGCCTGTATACCTGCCCTCCCTCCTCTGGCTACGCCGCTGTTGTAGGGAATAGAACGCAGCTGATGGAAGCGCGTTTAACCAATATGCTCTGTTTCGAAGGCAGCATGATTGTGTCCAAGGGGGTTAAAACCTCCCCCTCTCCTAAACTTGCTCAATATTCTATGTGCATATATGCAAATGCAGACAAACGCACGCACGCAAATCCATAAAGAATAGTTTATCCCCATCCTCTCTCTCTCTCTCTCTCTCACACACACACACACACACACACACCTTCCAGGAAAATATTTCTTCCTGGAAGGTTCTCGTGTATCGCGAAACACAAGGCGGTGCTCAGTGACAACGTGAACGCGCAAATAACGTTACACGGGGCTACCACTCGATGTATTTTCTGGTTGCCGTACTTGTTATTGGGGATTGTTGGCGCATGACAAAATTAAGCCAACAATGCAGTCTTCACAACAGTTCTGGCTTTATGATTCTGTGACGGCGAAACGCGGCGCGACCACTTTACTCGTGAATTTTCGTTATTGATGCGCGTGGTATACGCGTTACGAGCACAGTGTGTCCGAGATTAATTACACCTAACACACAAGAAAGGGAATGTAATGGCTTTTTTGGCTTTATTGCCTGTCAGTTACAATTACTTTTTTTGTTTAACAAAGAAAAATGAGCCCTTATGTATTCCTCTTTTTCGTTCAGTCTGCGACAATAACATGTAAGCCCTATTTGGTGAACATTGATTGATTGATATGTGGGGTTTAACGTCCCAAAACCACCATATGATTATGAGAGACGCCGTAGCGGAGGGCTCCAAAAATTTCGACCACCTGGGGTTCTTTAACGTGCACCCAAATCTGAGCACATGGTCCTACAACATTTCCGCCTCCATCGGAAATGCAGCCGCCGCAGCCGGGATCCGAACCCGCGACCTGCGGGTCAGCAGCCGAGTACCTTAGCCACTAGACCACCACGGCGGGGCTATTTGGTGAACATAAGCATTGTTTCAGTCACTTATAAAATTGGTAATAATTGACGTTGACTTGATGTAAGAGAAGTTGGGTTATGTCTTAATCTAGATTTGTATTGTTATACAGTCGCATTATGTGGAAACAAGAAGCCTGTTATAGAAAACTATTCTTATAATGTTAAATAATCTAAAACCAGATGCCCCCCCCCCCCTTTTTTTTTTCTGGTCCCTCGATCAGCGGCGCTATATTCGTGAACTCTCCGATATAATACGCCAGGCACATTTACGTGTTCTTATACGTGATGACTTAGTAGTCAGACGCACGAGCCGTATATCAACACAGATGCAAATAGTGAAATGAGAAGCATGATACCACGTTATGTAACCTGTGGATTTAGATGACAGAACGGGAATAATTCTAGAATGGCCTGCAAGCTCACCAACTTGGTTTCGCATTTATTTCACTTTAATAGTGAGATGCACGTGGCATAGGGCAGGTTCCAATCTGGTCGTGATGTGACTCCATGGGGGCGATCGGTCTGGTTGAAATTACACGTTGGGGACACCCATCCTCGAGCACGTGTCCTCTAGGCAAATCGTGCCTTGAGATAAACGCCTTCGTCTGTGCGCACACTGCGCTCGATGATCGGCAGACTGGAGTCCACTCCCTATGCTATACGACGTGCAATAAAAAGTGCAAGCCCTTATACTCACAGCGCAATGAAGGTGATGAAGAGCAGAGCGGCACACGACGTCGTCTTCATGATTGTGTCGAAGACTCTGGGCAGAGCTGTCAGCATCTGTACGTGGTACGCTAATTAGCTCGACTGGTTGCGACGTGACGCTTATATGCGATCGAGATTCGGTGGGCTGTTTGCAGCAGGAAGTGGCATATCCGTCCGCGACGGGATGTCCGCGCCCCCCATTACTGGTTATACTTTGACCGAGTTGTACGCCTGCGTTCTCTTCCGCGGCAAGTGACGTCTTTTTCCGAGCAGTAAAGCCCCACTCTTCGCTGATTGCCTTGTCAGGCATGCGTTAAGACGTCCCACGGCTGACGTGCAACCCCTGATTAGGCCGGGTTTGTCCCGGATGCGCAGATGCCTCTGAGGTTGTGTTACAGTGGACTACAGCCAACAGCCATTGGAAACTCAACACCACACGCTGCAACTCGGTGTGTCGTATGCGTCGAGAACGTGAAGACGAGAAGAAAAACCATGCACGCACTATAACACCCAAACACGAGCGCGTGTGCACACGTAGCGCTTCCCCACCATACTCTTACCGCTTCTCCAACCAACAAACTACCAATGAATGAATGAATGAATGAATGAATGAATGAATGAATGAATGAATGAATGAATGAATGAATGAATGAATGAGAAAGCTACTAGCAACGTTGGCTACCAGTGTGCGTATATACGTATAAACAGTTGACAGCTGTACGTGGTCACCATGTGACGAAATGATTCAGAACGAGGCTCCCCGATCTCCCTCTCGTTAGGCTATGCACCCGCCGTGGTAACTTAGCACGTAAGTTGTAAAATAGTGCTGTTCCCGAAGGCTCGAGTTCGATTACCAGCAAAGGGCATCAGTAAGATTATGAATAGGTATACACCTCAAAAAACCTCCGGCGCGATAGTAAATTAAACCGGACTACCCCACTACGGCGTGCCTCATGATTATCATATCGAGCCCTTGGCACGTCTCGTTGGACTGCGTTGCTGCAACACCCGCTGTGTATCTCCCGGTCTCTTCCTCTGTGGAGAAACTCAATACAGCCTGTTTAGGCTATATTTATCAGCTGTTTGCTGTGCAACCACTCGGAAAGCCGCGCGGGACTGAGGGCAGTTCCGAAGTTTCATAGTCGCGCATTTCACGCGGCGTGTTTACTCTTCTGTGAGAAACTGTCCTCACTGAGACTTCCACATAGTTAAGCCGCCACATGGCCACTTACTGAAAGCCCTAATGTACTTGGTTGATCGCAGAGCGAATTGTACAAGTTTGCAGATTTTGACCGACGTATGTGGTTTTCAATAGTCGCGTGTAATATCACTGAAATATGGGATATATTTTCGATAATCTTCAGTCCTTCACTACAATAGAAAGATAGTTAGATAGTTACAATGCCCCCCCCCCCTCCCACCGCTTCAATCGTAATGAAATTCTAGCTACGCCTCTGATGCGGAGCTGAACTGTTAGCACAGAGGCGAAACGTTCTCGCGGCGTTCTCACGTTCCATCTCATCAGTTTGCTACTGCTACTGCTACTACGACAACCTTCATGCACAACCACTGTCAGCAATAAAAGGCTGATTGGAATTTTAATGATTGCTTGATTAACAGTGAAAAGGGCGGCCATGCAGTGGCTTGTAAAGTCTTCGGCCGAGCAGTAACTTAATATGGATGCTTGGCACTACAGTCTATGTAGATATATAGACTGTATAAATGTACAAAGGAAGCTTTATTTCACTGTTGGACCACTTATGGGTATGCTGCACAATACAGTTCCGCGACTGGTGTATAGATTCACATTATGGCGGAGTATGGGCCTAAGGCGCGGCTGCTGCCATCGAACACATAATCGCGGACTGCTGTTATATCACTGAAGTCTTTGGAATATCTTTCGTTTCGCTTCTGCCAGCGCATACGGGCATTTGTATAGACAGTCACCACACACTTTGACAGAGGGATAGCACTGATGTGTGCAAACGATCAATGCAGACAACGAAGAAATGCACAGCTGGCTCGACGCGTGTGCGTTGTCTGGGGACTTGTTCCAAGCCGCAGTTGTGTGAGCTCTATTAATCCACGCTGGAAGGCAGCGGCTCGCCGGCCTGGCCATAGCAGTAGCGCTTTTTCTTGGAGCCCAGCCTCGCCGTACCGAAGGCGGCCGCAGTGGCACCATCGGCGACGGTCGCATGCCTGGCCGCCTTGCCTTTGGCCAATGTTCGGTGCAGCGTTTCGAGCTCTCGGTTGAACAGCATCTTGTGGTTCTGGGCGAGCATGTACTCCCAGGCCTTGTAGGCCTCGGCTTCGTCCGCCTGCTCGTCGTCGATGTCGGTGGTGATGCGGAAGTGGACGCTCTTTCCTGGTCCCCCGGCGGCCACTGCCGCCGCAGCCGGCTGCAGGCCGATGGCGATGACACAGGTGCCTCCGTCGCTCACCAGCGACGCGACGGCTTGGTTGAGCCGTTTAGCGGCAGCCATAGGGTTGGGTGCGTCCAGGGCCTCGGCGAGTGCTGCTTCGGGTTCCAAAGCGTCGCCCAGCGCGGCCGTCGAGAGCACCACGAGTCGGTCGTCCGGGCGCAGCGTCACGTGCCGAATGCTGGGTGATGGTAGCTCGCACGGAGGCGGTCCTCGGGCCGTCGACGGCCACGAAGAGCTGGCGTGCGTCTGGAAGCCCTCCTGCAAGACGTTCCAGTAAATGAGTCAGTAGACGGGCGTGCAAAACCTTTGCGTATATTTGCAGTTGAACAAGACCAGCTCGTTCGATCATCAGTCGCGAAAACTTCTTAAAGCTTCAAAAAAAAAAGTGTGCCACGTGCACGCTTCAGTTAAAACTTTTTTGATTGCACGACTGAGGCAAATGCTGATCGAACCTTAAAACCGGTGATACACCGCCATCCCTAAAGCGCACAGCGCACGTACAATCCGTTTTGCCGGCACAAATTCAAACAAAATAAATCTTGATGATATGTGGGATATAAAGTTCCAAAACTACCATGGGATTATGAGAGACGCCGTACTGGAGCTCCGAAAACTTAAACCTTCTGGGGTTCTTTAACGTGCACTCAAATCTGAGCACACGGCGCTACAGCATTTTCGCCTACATCTAAAATGCGGCCACCGCAGCCGTTATTCGATCCCGTGACCTGCGGGTCAGCAGACGAGTACATTAGCCACTCGACCACCGCGGCGGGGCAGCACAGTAAATCTTGATGAAGTTAAATAAAAACTACACGGCGTACGATGGTGTGAGAATGATTGGCTTGAAATTTAGAAGTCAGAAGACAGCTGGAGGTATCAGGGAACACACAGTGGTATCCGATATTCTAGTCGACATAAGGGGAGGAAAAAAAAAAAAACCTGGACACATTTCCCGGCTGCTTCAGAAACCCATGGCTCGTTGCGCTCACACAGATTAAACTATTTCAGTGAGGTTTATAAACACCGAACCCACTTTTCTACCTATACTGATTGTACCTGTGTGAACAATACGAGACTCCCTTGAGAGAATGGGAAAGTGCAGAAACGCAGTTTTCAGAAACGTATATGCAGTTCCTACATATTCGAAGGACTTATTTAGGGCCCACGCACTGTGAAGCTTATGAATTCCGGAAGCACATTCATCTAAAGTCAGTGGAAGCATGGCTCTCGCGATTGCATGGATGCCACGGGCCTGGCCAGCGTGCCTCGAGTGCATACTTGCCTGAACTGCCGCATCCCAGTCGTCGGCGACGCAACGCGTGCTTTGGCCGCTCTCCCCAAAGAGTATCGTTGCCTGCTTGTCGGCGTGGGCGAGCAGGCAAGTGGCGCCACCACACTGCGCGACCGTCATGAGGTACGCGGCCCCGTCTGTACCGTCAGCGCCCACGTCGGCCGGGGCGAGGTGGCAGAGCAGGATGTTCAGCTGGTGGCAGCATGCCTTGCTGCCCAGGGCCCTGAGGAATATGCACGTACGGTTTTTCTCGCCAAATCTTGAGCCTTCCTGGTTTTGTAATAACTTGATGATAGTTAGTTTGTCCATTGTTAGAACAGAGGATGAAACCGCGTGTCCATAGGACGAGGACACGGAGGAACATACTATAAGATATAGATATATGACATGCGCTGTCACAAACACGGCTACGTCACGATTAGTCGTCTTCTAACATATTTGCGTTCCCCCCAAAAATGCCTTGTGACCTGGTTCCCAAAAAATGCCTTGTGACCTGGTTCTTCCTAGCTCTGCTGAGGATGAACCTTACCATCTGCTTCTGTCTGGTACTCTCTGGCTTCAATGTGATGGAAAATTAGTGAACACGAAGTGTTGTTCGAGACATCGTTCAAGGCTGCAACAGTTGCAGCCTTGATGCATATAGGCCAGCTTGTCGAAACGCCGTCTCCAGCGACATCGCTTGTTCACGCATTTTTTCAACTCTTTAAGCTTTCACCTCCCCCAGAGCTCCTTTTCTGGCTCCGTATGAGCGATACAGGGCGACTACCAATTTTGAAGAGTTTTTCTAAGTTTTCATAGACGTTCTTTATATTTTTGTCAGCTTGGGTTATAATTTCAAGAACGTCAACATAATGTAAGGATTTCATTTGAAACTCCTTGTGGACCTCTAGTGGCTGGACCTCATCTGAAGGGTTGCACATTTTGGAATTCATGTCGCGCGCAAACAATATTCGTGGTCAGTTTTCGGCTTCCACCGTACCTTTAGGCCTTGAAAGGTATTCACGTTATCAGCGTAAAAGAGCATCTTTCACAGGAAACTAGAGCGAGTGCAGATCTTCGAAGAAGAAATTTTGACCAATACAGCTAACGGTGCACAAAACACGCTCCGAGGGGTGTGTAATTTGTTAGCGGTATAACGCCGTTATTATTGCTAAGTGGCTGAACTGTCCAAAGTAAGTTAATGCTGGAACTGCCAAAGTCAATTAACTCAATGACTGGCGCACGATTCTCCGGAGGCGGAACTCTAGCGTGAGAATGCTACCTGTAGGTGGAAAGTATGATGCTTTGCAGGAAGACTGCCGAAGATTCGGCGGAGCGTCGCTCCTGTCGTACGAGCTGTGCGACCGCCGCCTTTGCGGTGGAGAGCAGCTGCCGCTGTGGGCTCTCCAAGATGGCCGCCAGCACCTCGGTATGGCCGCTCGGCTGCGTGCACTGGTTGATGTACAACCTGCGAAGGGCACCACACAGTGTGAATACATAGCACACGTTGCTAACGCATGGCCGTGTATATGGGTATCATCTATAATTGAGGTGAAGCTGAATACTGATACATT